ACCAAAATCAGAAAGGAAAGTTAAAAAGTTTGTTCATTCGTTATATAATAATGTTCAAAAATATGATAACTCAGTATGTGGTAAATATATTGACCCTTCAGAAGTTTTCAAGAAAGCAAATGAAGAAGTTGATGTCACTTTTGATATGATTATTCCGGTAAATGATTTGTTAGCATTTCAGGCGTTCGATGATTATCCTAAATCATTTGGTGAAATCATTCTTAAATATTATGTTTTCAGGGATACTTTAGTATTTTGTCAGGTTGACCCGTTAAGAGTTGCTGATTTACAAAATTACGTTTATGAAAAGATAACTGATGAAAATTATGAAAAGATTATGAATCATGTTTATAAATATGATCGCAAATTCCAACAAATCGGACTTCCTGCCAAATTAATTACAAGCTTAGCCGCTACATCTGCTGACGCAACAGTTGAAGACGTTATTATTTCATGCACAAAGATGGAAGTTTTAGAGGATAAATGCATTACACCAGGATACGGTTTAATTGAAGAATCAGTTAAAGCAATACCACGTTTATTTAGTAAGGAAGATCCATTCATGATTCCAGCTCAACATATTGACGTTCGTTCACTAAATGGAGGTTGCATCACTCCTGAAGGTATTAGCTCAGATTTCTCATACGCTCTTCATAATGTTACAGATGTTGTGTTAACATTTCCGAAGAATGCAATGCAAAGAACGGTTTTAGAAAATCCAATGCTTCGAGGTCTTCAGGTCACTATAGATTCCAGAAACTTCCCCGATCAAGCGATGACCACAGTGGGTGACATATTCTTTACACGTATGCTTCAAGCTTCTGATTTAGATGGAGTGAATGAATGCACAGAAGAATACGAGGACTCATTAACTAGACCACTGAATGATGATGATGGCACACCATTAGCTAGAACATGGAAAGACCAAACTTCATTCTTATGCACTATTCCAGTTCAACGTGATGGAGCGGGTATATTCTTTGATGGATTAGAAACTTTCAACTCACAAGTTACAGTACAAGTGAAAGCTTATCCAATCATTCAGGGTGAAAATGACACTTACTGTTCAAAAGTGACAAATCCTCCTCAGGTTTGGTTTACTAGGACTACATATTGGACATGGACACCGGATGAAGGTTTGAAATATCATCCAACAGGTACACCACCGCAGTATAGAAGTTCATATGATGAAATATTGATGAATAGAAATGTTTAAAATTATAAATTTATTTTTGATTAAATGGATTTAAATTCATCCACCCCTTATGAAGAATTAGCAGGAGTATATAATACATACGTAGATGATATGATTAATGAAGCATTGAGTGATAATAGAAATGCTCTATCTAAGGAAAAATTAATGAAAATTCCATATTCTGAATGTTACTTAAATTCAATCACTGCAGCAATTGGTAAACAAAATAAAGGTAAAACATTAACGATATTAAAACAAATTATCATTATTGCTAACACTTCACCCTATTCACATGTGTTAATTTATATCAACCGTTCAGGTTCACCTTCAGATGATACATTTGAATCTTTAAAGCATTTAATCAAAATTCCAATTATTTATTTATCACAAGAAGAAGCAGAAGATTATTTAAAAAACTTTGTAATGTATAAAGAATTATATAATACAATCAAGAAGCAAGGATTAGAGGATAAAATTATTGATAAACAACGGGATGAATTATTTGAAACACTTTCTATTTCAAATTTTGATAGAGAATTTTTGCATTCACTCATTTTTCTAGATGATGCGGTGAAATCAAAACTAATAACTAATGAGAAATCATATTTTAATCAATTATTAACTCAATGTCGACACATTCAGTGTTCATTCTTCATGGCTGTTCAATACTTTAAAGCATTAAGCACAAACATTAAATCAAACCTGTCCACCCTTTTCATTTTCAGTGGTTTTAGTCGTCAACAGTTGAACGTTATGCTTTATCAAGTGAATTTACCAATGAGCATTAATGAACTTTACACACAATATCAACAATTAGGAGAACATGGAAAAATAATAGTTGATTTAAATAAAGGTTCCATTAAATTCGAATAACTTTTTATAATTAATTTTTATTTTTTATTTATAATTAAACATGACAGAAATTGCAAATCTTCTACAGGTTCCATTAAAACAAGGAACAAACAAAAAGGGTGCATATAATAGAACTATGAAAGTTCCAGACGGAATGAAAGAATTAGTCCACATTGTTGCCGGTCTTCAAAAGGATGTTAAACAAATGAGAAACGTTTTAACATTACCAGAAGCTCAAGCATATGCCAAACGTCACGGACCAAATTGGGAAGCACACGAAGCAGACATTACGGGTCCAAATGGAAAACCTGATGGAATAAATGAAGTTTTCGTTACTGATGGTCAAGGAAATATTAAAGTCATAAATGGGTATAAATTAACAATGACGGATTATCCTAAACGTAAAGCATATAATGAACATTATCCTATGCAATTTGATGAAAATGGAAAAGCTGTTAAACAATACATTGGAGAAGGTGAAAATGGTCCAATTAATTCATACCGTCATAATCCATATTCTTACTTCAATGAAGAATTAAATGCTATTGAAGAGGGACCGGATGGATTACCACGATATTCTAACCAGTTTGATGGTCAATATGCAAATTTAAGACCTGAAATTCCAGCTAAGAAATTCTTTAAAGTTGCTTTATTCGATCCAGTTTTCGCAAATGTTAAAGATGAACTTAAACAGCAATTCCAACCAATTATAGTAGCAAGAATTGCATCAGGTGCTTTATCTCAAGCATTCAAAGATTTAATTAAGAAACCATTATATCAGCAACGAGGTTTAACTTATGATTTAGTTAAGGAATCAGATAAAAGAAAATTTGAGAAATCAGATGATTATAAGAATGCAATTAATGAATATATTCGGTCTATTAATTTCGATGAAAATGCTAAAAATCAACTTCATGAACAAATACAGGAAATAATAGATTCAAAAGTTCCAGCAAAATAAAAGTTTAAATATATTTTTTTATTCGAATATAAATGAGAAGACGTTTCACTAGTCAAAAGAACACTAACGCAAAAGCAGAGATTACGGTTGGTTATAACGTAAATGATGATAAATCACGAATTATTCAAAATGTTAAAGTTAATGTTAGTCCTGAATTAACAAGGTCAGCAACTCAACCAAATTTATTAACTCGTGACTTACCGAAGAATGAGGAGAATGAAGAAAACCATGAGAATGGAGACCCAATCATTTTATCTGAACCTGGTAAAGAACCTGTTGAAATTCCCACTTATCCAACATACCCCCACCTCTTTCATCAAACATCGAGAACCCAGGAATCTACGATTACAGTCGCAATGCGCCATATAAAATAGACATTAATTCTGAATTAATGAAAATTTACCGTGATATCATAACTGATAATTATGATTCAATAATAAATTTAATTGACCAATCCGGTTTAATTATTTTACCTTATGAATCATTAATTCACATTATCGCCATTCTTTGTGATGTTCAAGATTCAGACGTGAAGATTCAATTTTTCATAGATGATGAGGTTTCATGCTGCGGAACAGTTGCAAAAATAAATCCTATAAAGGATATTAGCACAATTAAGATATCAAAGAACGGAACAACAACTGAACTTCATTTAACATATAATGATATTTATAATAAAATAGTTGATGAATATAAAATATCACTTGAAAAATTCTTTGTTAAGGCTATTTAATATTCAAGCATTAACATTATCGAATAATAATCCTTTGAATCATAATCGATAATAATTGACCTTTCACCAGTTTCTATCGTTTGTTTTATTTCTTTTTGTTCCCCACTATCCGGATCGGTCATTGTAATTGTTTTTGTTATAGTATCAGCTTTATCTTTAACTTCAATCTTTTTTCCATCGGGATATTTAAACCAAAATTCCAAAAATTCGATATTGTCAATCTGTTCATATTTTAATCTATCAATTACATTTTTAATACCATCTGAAAATCTTATGAAATGGTCATTATATGGGTTTGATTGAACTAAATTTGAATGAAGTGAAATATAACCTGATGATGAATATGACATCGACTCATATTTTCTGAAAACACTAAAATTTATAACATGAATGAATTTCTTATTCGTTGAATTTATGAATTCTTGAGGTAATCTTATTCTAGTTTTATTTATCACTGGAAAATAACGCTTTACCATATTTTTAATCGTAATAAAAAAATGTCAATTATCAATATTATTTCGAATAATAACTGTGAATTAAATTTAACAGTTAGCGGAATTTATAATGTTACTCTCGTTTCTGTGAGTGGTAAATTTAATCCCATTCTTTTAGACCCTTCAGATTATATATCATTTATTAAAGATGACCATGAGCCGCATAGCGGCGGGGTCGTAGACCTAAAAACGTATGATATGTATATAAATAATGTGATAACGAAATGGGATATTAACATGATTTTAAGTTATTTAAATGAATCATTTATCGTATGGTATGAAGAAAATTTTAAATCAAAACCTGATAAACTTTTTGAACTTGATGAAATAAATAACCTTATTAAATTTCCGCTGAAAATTAAATTTTGTACTCCTCGTCTTCGTTCATTGTTGGGGATATTAAATTTTGAAAAAGATGTTGGGGATGTTTTGTATTCTGACACTGGTTCTAATTTCATTTTAATCAAATGTGATAAAGTTAATACCCCAATGAGATTTTCACATCAAACATTAGACCCTAACTCTTACCCATCAATACAAAACATTTTATCCATCAACTTAAACATATTTTCTTTATCATATCCGTTTCAATTATCCGGGAATTCATTTATTCTTCATTCAAAAGATTTATCAAATATTAAATTTAGAATAACTGACCTATTTGATTGTGATTTAGAATTTATGAATGAAATATTATGGCAATTTCAAATAGAAAAAATAGCTGATGAGATAACAGATTAAATATTTATTTTTAAATCGTAATAAATGATTAAACAACAGCAACCACAGACCATTACATACGCCATATATGCATATAATTCAAAGACGGCAGAACAAACGCAAATGTTGAAATATGGAGATTTGGAGATAGTATTGAAAAATGACCATTTCGAATTCGTTTGCAAAGGTGGTGCAGTGATATCAAATATAAAAGAAATTTTATTTATGAATTCAAAAATTAAAGGAATAACGGATGATATAACATCAATTCCACCAGAAGAACAAAGATATTACGCATTAAATGCATTTCCTAAAGTTTTGAAGATTGGAAGATTTAATTTAAATGAGGAATTCATAAAAGGTTTCCTAAATGACATAATGAAGAAAGCAGATAAGGAATATGTTAACGATGAGTTAGCAAAGAAAGCAGATATATCATTTGTTAACGATGAGTTAGCAAAGAAAGCAGATAAAACTTATGTTAACGATGAGTTAGCAAAGAAAGCAGATATATCATTTGTTAACGATGAGTTAGCAAAGAAGGCAGATAAGGAATATGTTAACGATGAGTTAGCAAAGAAGGCAGATAAGGAATATGTTAATGAAAAAGATAATGAAATTATAGAAAGGGTTGAATGGTATCATGAACGGACATCGAAGATTCTTAAAACTAAAGCTGATACAGGATGGGTTTCAGAATGTTTAGACCTTAAAGCAGATATATCATTTGTTAACGATGAGTTAGGGAAGAAAGCAGATAAGGAATATGTTAACGATGAGTTAGCAAAGAAAGCAGATAAGGAATATGTTAACGATGAGTTAGCAAAGAAGGCAGATAAGGAATATGTTAACGATGAGTTAGCAAAGAAAGCAGATATATCATTTGTTAACGAAATATACCAAAGTTTAGTTGGAACAAAAAATATTGAAACTATTGTTGGCGACTTTTCTGTCAATGAAGAAAACAAATATTTTAGATGGGAGTTTGTACAGTCCTTAAGAAATGGTATACGGTATAAACTCATTCCGAAAAATAACAATGAAATGTATGTAGGCTATATAAAGAATAATGGCACACAAGTTAAAGTTCCATTAGACAACAACTGCTACTTAAACTTATATGGAGACGAACAAAAGAAATATTTAAGAGTTTATGAAATGACGGATATGACATTGTCTAACGTAGCTCCAGCACCGTATTATTATGACTATGGTGTTGACGCACATGTAGACCCAAAAAAGCAAACATTATATTTAGATTATTATAGATATAAAAGATATAATGCAATAGAAAAAACGAGAATAGTATACTATTATGAAGATGACAAAAATAAATATTATAGTCAAGATTTTACATACCCTGAAAACATAAGATTATATTATAAAAAATATTCTGACACAAACCAGAAGAAACCCGAAATAGTTACACTATATTTTAAGTTCAAAAGAGACAATCCTATAATATCTCATATGTTTGATTTAATGAACCCAGTAGGTTCTATTTATACATCTATGGATGTGAGAGGTCCTCAAGCAATGTTTGGTGTTGGTGCATGGGAACAAATAGTCGACAGGTTTTTGTATTGTGCAAACTCTTCAAAGGAAACAGGGGGAAGTAAAACAATTACGGGTGAAAATTTACCTGCACACAGTCACTACATAGATTTAAGCACATCTCAAGCAGGTTGGCATAAGCATAGATATTGGGATTGGTCAGGAATGACAAAAGGTAAAGGATATGATGTTAAAGATGATGTTAAATTTGCCATAAATTGTTACTGGAGTGACACTCAGGGAGAAGGAAACCATACACATCGCGTTTCAGGATATACACAAACAACGGGACAAAGTAAAGATTACATGCCACCATTTATGACTGTATTCGCATGGTATAGAGTTCAATGAACGCTCAATGTTTGTGAAACAAACTTTAGGAGCTCCAAAAGAGCAAACAGCATAATTTAAATTTTTATTTTAGTATAAATGAAGATTCTACCATATGGTGTTATTGGAAGAGATAAAGATGGAAACCCAATATTTGATCCAAAGTTAAAATTAAAGTTACTGACAAGACAACAACTTGAAAAGTTGCTGAAACCAAAACAGAATGAAAAATGAGAAAATGAGAAAATGAGAAAGAAAAAAAATTTAAATTATGCAATTTTATTTTTATCATAAATGACCAAATTAATTAAGCCAACTATTTCTAAATTAATGATACCAATGAAATCATTTCATGGAGTACTTATCCCAGGTTCTTCACAATTAGCCGGGGCAAGTGTTGTGACTCAAGGTGGAACATTAGCGAATCCATTCAAATTATTAACTAAAGATGAACTTAATAAAATGATGATAAAATAACTGATAACAAAATTTTATTTCACTACTACCATAAAAACAGGTGAAAAAACAGGTGATATCTCACCTCTTCACCTAAATTATATTTTAGGTCAAAGCTTCCACGAGAGAAAAGATTCCTCATTCGCTAAGGATTCCAAAAATGAAAAAATCATTGATTTCGGCTGAGAAAAAACAGCAAAACCCTTCTTCCACGGGAACAAAGAAATAAAGAAGAAATAAAGTAAATTTTTTATTTATTCCCGTGGAAGATAGAGCACTTTTATGATACTTTTTATTCACGACAAACAAGACAAATAAAGAAAATAAGAAAATACGGCGCTGTCGCGGTTCGAACCACAGACCTTGACCCCTCCATAACACCACCTTAGACCACTGTGCTACGTAGCCTGTCGACATAAGATTTTATAAATTGCATATTTGACGTAAATTTATTTCCCAGTTATTCAAAAATAATTAATTATTGAATAACCTAAAAATCATTACACACGATAAAATAAGTGATAACAAATTTTTATTTTTATCATAAATGAATACCCCACAAGCTCAAAATTTACCACGAATCATAACAAGGGAGGAAATGATAAAAATGATGCAAGAACATGTTAAAAATAACAAACCACTAAAATTGAGAAAATGTGGTTATGCGGTAATGATGGAAAGAGAGATGTTGTCGAAGAGGAATAAAAATTAAATTTGGATAGAGTTTAAAAATTCATCTTTATTAAATTCATCTCTTCCAATCAATTTATTTATTCTATTAAATTCTTTTATTTTTGCTTCACTCAGTTTAAGGATTGAACGATAAGTTTCTAATTTTTCGATTATTTCTTTCCTCTCTTTATCGTTTTCAACCCCACCACATTGTGGCTTCTTTTTGTAATAACATATTTTTGATTTAATTCTGTTTAGTTTCTTTTTATATTCATCGTCTGGACTCTTGACTGCTTCGTTGTTACTCATTTCTTACGAAATAAAAAAATTAAATATTATTTAAATATAATGGAGTAATAAAATAAATCGGAATTTCTATTAATTTATTGTCAACTTCAACTAATGCATTGCCGTTAATATATCTAACAAATTCAGCTATTGTGTCAAATCTTCGTCTTCTTTTTGTCATTGATTTATCAGTTTTTCCATAATCGAGATGAATCAAAACTTTATCCCCTTGTTTAAAATTCATGAGCCCCGAATTAATTTGTTCACGTTTAACATCATTCAACCTTTCCATTTGCTTTCTAATATATTCCCATTCTTTTGAAATATCATTTTTCATTTCCACCGGTTTCATGTTTATTGTTCTATGCCATGTATTATTGTAATAATATACTAACTGCTGTATGATGGAGTCATGATTTCCATCCCAGTATATCTGACCATTAACCCCTAACGCATCTCTAAGAGTTCTCATTACCGCATCAACTATTTTATTATGAAACGTATATGGAGAGGATGAAAAGTAAAAATTAATTTGTGGGAAATAATGAGCCATAGCTGCCTGAAATCCTTTATCACCATCACCCCTTATATTATCTACTCTTTCATGATCTAGTAAGTATTGAATAGCTCTTCTTGTTTCCTGTTCTGTTTTCCCTTTCACCGGAATGCAATATAAATATCTGGTGTTAATGTTAATGGCAAATAAATAAGTAACGTTTCCTCTTGAATATTCTAAATGATCGATTTCGTATGAATATGGATATGGTGCAAATGAAGGGCGACTAAATTTTTCCTTTAACGGTTGAATTTTTGGGTCAGTTGGTTTATTTAATATTTTGAAATCCTTTTTAAAATCTTTTTGCTTCTTTAATGTTTGAAATGGATATAATAAAGTGAATGATGAAGGATTAACTGAAGGAGGAGGAGGTACTGTCGTTGGAGGGTTTGGTGTTGCAGGTGGTTTAATTTTATCTGCTTTGATTTTGGATTTCATTCCCCCCTTCATTAATTCTGGATGTATTCTATTCATTTGTTTTAAATATGCTGTATATAAAGGTTTGATATACTTTCCCGCTTCGAGTTTATGTTGAAGGATGAATTCCAAAAGTTGATCTTCATTTAAAAGTCGGGCTGAATATGGTTTAACTAATGAATCATAAATTAAAGCTTGTGCTTCATTTATGGTCTGAAGGACCTGGGCGTTTTGCACCTTTTGTTTTTGTTCCTTTGGTTTTTGCGGCTCAGGATTATATAATTTATATAATTTATATAATTCATCAATATCTTCTTCTGTTAATACTTTATTTTTGAAATCTTTCAATTGTTTAAGTTGTGATTTACTTTTTCCCTTTGAATATTCATTATTTTTAATTTTGTCTTTAATTTTAGAAATTATTTTATCATGATATTTCAAAACTTCATTTTTATAATACGAATAATAATAATCCATATCATCACCCGTTATATTGTTATCATGTTTTTGGAGATATGATTTTAATTCATAATAATTAAGAAAATTTTGATTAAGTACTAAATCATCAATTAAATTTTTTAAATCTACGCTATTCATTTATATAAAAATAAAATAAGTGTTTTAAGGGTGCCCGCCTCTTTGAATCATAGTATCAAAACCATTATTTACGGTTCCTTTTGTCTCTTCTGTGGCATTTTATTAAATAAATGGCATACAACATCCATTTTCACAACATACAGCCTTAGTGTGTGCTCCTGTTAATGCAGTCTTACCGATTGTTAAGCGAGTCATTGACCCGTTTTTAAGTTGTAAATTAATATTCTGACCATCAAATATCACTTTATCATTTATTATATCCAAATAATTTTTAGGTGTTAATTGTTTATTTTGTCGTAAACTAACTCCTTTCATTTTTTGTGCAATCTTTTTAAAATCACTTCCATCAATTGAACCGTTGAATGAAGTATAACACTTAGGACATAAAGCAACCATGTTATCACCTTGTTTCTCAATTGCTAAACCCAATAACTTCTTCTCATGTGCTTTTTCTTCAGCTTTATTCTTTAATTTAGGTTTAAATTTCTCATTAAAACAGAAGAAATCAAAAGGTGCGAATTTGTAAATGTTTTTATCATAAAATTTTTTATCGGTTACAATTGCTTGAAATGCTTGAGTGTTAGGAAGATTTGGGTCGCCAGCGATTGCCCAATAAGATGAATCAGTATCACCTTCAATGAAATGAAAACGATTAACATCCATGCATTTATACATAAAATCATAAATGAAAACCAAATACCAGTATTTTGCGTTATCTAAAGTGAAGAATGCCTCTTGTAAACATGTATCACATCTATAAAATCTATCTTTAAGCATCACTTGATACGTATCCTCTCCTATTTCTCTTATGTTTTTAAACTTATTTGACATACATGCAACGCGTGCCTTCTGTGCATTCATTATTTTAGTCTTTGCGTAATTTTGTGTATTCATTGCATCGTAACCATATGATCCATTAAGTGAAATCTTGCAAAATAAACTTTTTCCTTTATTTCCTTCTAATTCAGCCTTTTGTCTTTCGTTCATAAATTCATTCGCAAATTCATTAAAACAAGTATTTTTCGTAAATGTTAAAATTGATTGAATGTCATCAATGATAAAATGAAATCTGTCTATTAGATACCAAAGATAATAAGAAGAAAATGGTTGATATTGGTTGTGTGTTGATGCTAACTGAGTTAATTTCCTCTGTTTCTGGTCAACTGGTAGATTGTTTGATTTCATGTAATTATACATAAAACCACCAATTGTTTTTTCATCTGTGATAATATCAAAGTTTCTTATTATTGGTAAAAAGTTTATGTAATCATTAATGTATTTTTCATCAATGTGACCCTTTACTTCAGCCACGAATAAAGTATTTTTCTTCTTAATTATTCCCAGTGCTTTTGCTTTCTTTGTTGCTGTATCACAAATGATAACACCATTCAATCTTCCCGGCATATACATTTTATGGTCAGTATATTGAATGAAATC